GTTGCTCCTCTTCCAGTCCAGCTCTCTGCTGTGGTCCGGGAGTGCAGTGGAGGATGGCTCAGGTGCTTGGGCCCTGCACCCGCATGGGAGACCAGGAGAAGCAACTGGCTTCTGGCTTCAGATCGGCACAGCACACCGACCTTACGGGTCATTTGGAGGGTGAACCAACGGAAGTCAGACCTTTCTCTCTGTCTCTCTCTCTAACTCTGCCTGTCAAAATAAATATAAATAAATAAATCTTGGCTGAAGTCAGTGCATTCTATATCGTGTGAGAGGAAGGGCTGCAGTGAAGCATGGATTCCCACAGCTGACTGAGAATCCAAACCTTGGTGAAGATCTAGCTTGGGAGGCCAGTGCTGTGGCACAGCGGGATAAAGCCCTGGCCTGACGTGCCGGCATCCCTTATGGGTACCAGCTCTAGTACCAGCTGCTCCTTTTCCAATCCAGCTCTCTGCTGTGGCCTGGGAAACCAGAAGATGACCCAAGTGCTTGAGCCCCTGGACCCGTGTGGGAGACCCAGAAAAAGCTCCTGGCTCCTAGCTTTGGACTGGCACAGCTCCAGCTTTTGTGGCCATTTGGGGAGTTAACCAGCGGATGGAAGACCTTTCTCTCTGTCTCTACCTCTCTCTGTAACTCTGTCTTTCAAATAAATAAAATAAATCTTTGGAAAAAAAAAAAAAAGATCCAGCTTGGGTGCCCACATTCCGTGGGAGACTGCCTGGGTTCAAGTCCCCGCTCTGCTGCAATTCCAGCTTCCTACTAATGCACACCCCGGGAGGGCAGCAGGTGACGGCTCAGGTAGCCGGGTCCCTGCCTCCCAGGTGGGAGACACAAACAGACTGAGCTCTGGACTCCTGGCTTCATCACAGCCCAGCCCTGGTTACTACAGGTATTTGGAAAGTAAACCAGTGGATAAAAGATCTCTGTCTTTCAAATAAATGAAAAATAAATGCTAAAAGAATCCAAGCCCAAAGCTGGGCTTAACACCAACAAAAGCAAAACTCTACTACTGCTGGAGGAAGTACAGACAACTTCCTCCTGTCTAAGACCCACAAAACACAAGGCAGGATTTGGCTGCAAGGCAGAGAAAGGAAAGGAAAGCTGGCACACAGAGTGCCTGTTTGCGGCTCTGCTTCACACACAAGTGAGGTCAGGACAGACAAGCTCCTGCTCCACCTCAAGGCAAGCGCCGTCAGGCAGAAAGGAGTGTGGAGCAAGACCCCCTCTGTGGTTAGGCATTAAGGGGCAGCACAACATTGAAGGAGTAAGTACAAGATAAAACTTACTGCTGGAGGCGCCAGTGTTGTGATGCAGGGGGTTACGCTGCTGCTTGGGACGCACAGATTCCACATCCGAGTGCTGGTTCCAGTCTCAGCTACTCTGCTTCCCCTCCCGCTCCCTGCTAATGCTCCTGGGAAAGCAGCAGCAGATGACTCAGTGCTTGGGCCTCTGCACCCACACGAGACCCCCCCATGGAAGACCCACTTGAGTTTGGCCTAACGCAGCCCTGGTCATTGTGGCCACTAGGGGAGTGAACCAGAAGATGAAAGTGCCCCCCCCCCCATAACTTTTTCAAGTAAATAATAAATCTTTAAAAAAAGAAAAACAGAAACACAGATGACTCAGATGTTGAAACTACTAGATAAGAGCATCAGAATAACTCTGATTAATATTTTAAATGTGGACAACAGACATGAACAAATGAGAGATTTCAGCAGAAATGAAAACCAAAAACAGAATCAAGTGGAAATGTTACAAACTTTTAAAACACGACATTTGCAGACTGCACAGAGCTGAGGAAGAATCCGTGGCCCTGGGGCCAGCACTGGGGTACAGCAGGTTAAGCTGCCACCTGTAACACCAACATCCTATATGGGCGCCAGTTCAAATCCCAGCTGTCCCACTTCCAACCTGGCTCCCTGTTAATCCACCTGGGAAAGCAGCGGAAGATGATCCAAGTGCTTGGGCCCTGCCACCCATGTGGGAGACCAGCATGGAATTCTGGGCTCCAGGTTTCAGCCTGGTCCAGCCCTGGCTGTTATAGCCATTTAGGGAGTTAACATCAGATGGAAGATGCGTGCACTGGTAGGTCTTTTTCTCTCTCCCTTCCACCAACTCCCACTCCGTAACTCCACATTTCATATAAATAAATACATCTTTAAAAATAACAAAAGATCTGTGACCCCAAAGAAAGGTCAATAGAAATCACCCAAACTGAAACACACACACACGCACACAGAAGACTGAAAAACAACAAAATATACAAGAATTGTGTGACATGATCAAACAGTTTACCACACATGTAATTGGAGACAGGGATAGACCTCGAGAAGAACAAGGTAGAAGAAGTATCTGAAGAGATAACAGCCAAGAATTTTCCAAAATAAATGAAAGACAACAAACTCAGGTCAAAAACACTGATGGGACCCTAAGCAAGATTAAAAACAAAGAAAAATTACATACCTATAACAAAACTGATTTAAAAAAAAAGAGAGAGAGAGAGAGAAAGAGAAAATGTTGCAAGGTAGCCACAGGGGAAAAAAAGAAATACTGTAGACAAGGAACCAAAAAAAAAAGCCTGCAGCAGAGTTCTCGTCAAAAACAACACAAACTGTAAGACAATGCAGTGACATATTTAAAGCGGTAAATGAATAAAACTCAACTCAGATTTCTAAGCTCAGCCACTCTATCTTTCAAAGACGAAAATAAAATAAAAGCAGGTTCAAGGCTAAATGAGAACTTGCACCTGTTTCTGTCTTGACAGAGTTCTTACAGGGCAGTCAGTCAGAAGGCTGGGGGAAGTAACAGGAGACCAGGGTCTGCAGGCACCTCAGCTCTGCCATCAAAGCACTAAGGGACTCTGGGCACTCATGCTCTGCCTCAGTTTCCTTATCTGTAAAACTAGCATATCCTATTCCACTCAACCCCTTGCAGGTGGTGACTGCACACGGCATCTGCACCAACACTGGACAACCATGAGACGCTCCACAAACAAGCTATTTCACGACTCAGTCATCATGAGCCATTCAGTCTAAACCTGATTTTAGAGAGAGACACCAGTTCTCGAGAGAAGAAACTTGCCAGAAGTCACAGAGATTTATGAGTATCAGACATCTGTACACTCACAATACTCGGGAGAAAAACAAATATAGGGACAGGTGTTATCACAGAGGTTAAACAGCTTCTTGGGACACCCACAGCCCATATCAGAGTGCCTGGTTCAAGTCCTGGCTGTCTTGTACTTCCGATCCAGCTTCCTGCTAATGAACCTGGGAAGACAGTGCATGATGGCTCAAATACTTGAGCGTTTACCACCCATATGGAAGACCCAGATGGAGCTCTGGCTCCTGGTTTCAGCCTGGCCCAGCCCTGGCTGTTGTAGCCCATCTGAGCAGTGAACCGAAGGATGGGAGATTCTTTCTTCTCCCTCCCTCTCTCCCCTCACCTCCCTCCATCACTATGCCTTTCAAGTAAGTAAATGCAGGGACCCAAGGACTTGGGCCATATTCTACTGCTTTCCCAGGCCACAACAGAGAGCTGAATCGGAAGTGGAGCAGCTGGGACTCAAACTGGTGCTCATATTGGATGCTGGTTCTGCAGGTGGCGGTTTTAGTGCTGGCCCCAATACTTTTTTTTTTTTTTTTTTTTTTTTAAAGAAAAGAAACATCGGGCCGGCGCCACGGCTCAATAGGCTAATCCTCCACCTGCGGCGCCAGCACACCGGGTTCTAGTCCCGGTCAGGGCGCCAGATTCTGTCCCGGTTGCTTCTCTTCCAGTCCAGCTCTCTGCTGTGGCCCGGGAGTACAGTGGAGGATGGCCCAAGTCCTTGGGCCCTGCACCCGCATGGGAGACCAGGAGAAGCACCTGGCTCCTGGCTTTGGATCAGCGCAGTGCACCGACCACAGCACCCATTGGAGGGTGAACCAACAGCAAAAGGAAGACCTTTCTCTCTGTCTCTCTCTCTCACTGTCCACTCTGCCTGTAAAAAAGTAAAAGAAAAAAAGCAAAAACAAAACAAAAAAAAAGTAAAAGAAAAAAGAAAAGAAACATCAAATTGTACTATTTAGGAAAAAAACCCAATGCATGCATGCAAACAGCACCGGAAGGAAATGTGGAATAATGCAATCAGCTGCAGTGGTGGGATGAATGTTTTAATTCCTGCAATAAATAAATCTGGGGGAAATGTACCATGTAGTTAAATGGTACCCTTACTGCCTTTGGTCTCACTGCCCAACTCCTTCAAGACTCTGGAGTAAGAACTGTCCCTTGAGGCCAGCATTATAGCTTACTATGTTAAGCCTCGGCCTGCAATGCCAGCATCCCATTTGGATGCCAGCTGAAGACCCGGATGCTCCACTTCTGATCCAGCTCCCTACTAACGTGCCTAGGAAAGCAGCAGAAGATGGCCAAAGGGCTTGGGCCCCTGCATCCACGTGGGAGACCCAGAAGAGGCTCCAGGCTTCTGGCTTCAGATCAGCCCAGCCCCAGCTGTTGAGGCCATTTGGGGAGTGAACCTGCGATGAAAGCATGCACTCTCTCTCTCTAGCTCTGCCTTTTAAGTAAATTTAAAAAAAAATATTTTAAAAAACGTTCCTTGGTTGGGGGGAGGTGGTTGGTGTTATGGCACAGCAAGTTAAGCTGCTGCCAGTTGCAACACCAGAATCAGAGCACCGGTTCTAGTCCCCACTACTCCACTTCCAACACAGCTTCCTGCTAACATGCCTAGGAAGGCAGAGGAGATTGGCCCAAGTACTGTGGTTCTTGCCACTCAGGACCAGGATGGAGTTCTTGGCTCCTGCCATTTGGACTAGCCCATCCCTGGCTGTTGAAGCCATTTTGGCAATGAACCAGCAGAATGTGGACATAGAACAGTCAATACCCGGCCCCTGGGCCCTGCTTCTCTGCCATTCTTTTAAATCATCTTTAAAAAAACAAAAACAAACAAACAAACAAACAAAAAAAACAAAACAGCTCTTTCCCTTTGAGCAGCTGCGGCAGCGGCGGGGTTGTGCAGCCATGGCCAAGATCAAGGCCTGGGACCTTCACGGCAAGAAGGAGGAGCTGCTGAAACAGCTGGACGACCTGAAGGTGGAGCTGTCCCAGCTGCGCGTGGCCAAGGTGACTGGCGGCGCGGCGTCCAAGCTCTCCAAGATTCGAGTTGTCCGCAAGTCCATCGCCCACGTTCTCACCGTCATTAATCAGACCCAGAAAGAAAACCTCAGGAAATTCTACAAGGGCAAGAAGTACAAGCCCCTGGACCTGCGGCCCAAGAAGACCCGCGCCATGCGCCGCTGGCTCAACAAGCACGCTGAGAGCCTGAAGACCAAGCAGCAGCAGCGGAAGGAGCAGCTGTACCCCCTGCGCAAGTACGCGGTCAAGGCCTGAGCCCGTGCTGCTAATAAACACAGAATGGCTGCCCAAAAAAAAAAAACACACACACACACACACACACACACACAACAACAAAAACCCTGTCCTTCAGTTCCAAGAGGCCTAGGGTACAGATGGTTTTATAGTTCAAGATATGCTGGAGTAATCCAAATGAGTTTTGTGGGGACTGGTCTAGAATGATTCATAAAATATATACTGGGGAACAGGACACAGGGCATTCCAGCAGGGGCTACTATGTGGACATTGCTACTGAACTGGGATTAGAAGTACCCGCAAGCAAAGAGGAAGTGCCATGGTTTGGGTATAGTCTGTCCCCTAAAGGTTCAAGCAGCCTGTTCCCGCAGCTCCGTGTGTACCCTTCAGCCACTAGAATCATAAGCCCAATGAACGGTTTTATTTGGAAGTTGCTCTGCCTCAAGAATCCTGTTATAGCAACACAGAAAAGACTAATACAGTCAGTGCTGGGTCAGTGACATTTACAAGAAAAAATAAGAAAATGAGAGCTAGAACAGGTGCTTATCTTTAGTTTCATTTTAAATCAGGTAGCTTCCAAGCTGATAAACAATTTTTTTTTTAATTCAAGAAAACAGGTCTGATTAAAATAAATGAGTGAGAAACAAACTTACCCCCTGGAATCAAGCAGGTTTTTGAAATCACGTAATTACCTTTCCACAGCATGTTTTTGAGACAGCCATGCTGAAAAACACACTAACACACACGCACAGAGGAACCACTGTGGTGATGGGCCACCACTGCCAGGCAGACTCTTCTCAAATACTGCACAAGACCCTGAATCAGAGGTGGGGTGAAAACTGTTGCTCAAAATCACCGATAGCCTAGGAATCCTTCTGCCCCACGGACACAATGTTTCAGGACAGCCAGTAAGGAATCCTCCTAAGGGAGCAGTCTTCTGTATAGGCGGTAAGGGCAATGTGACCGAGTCTGAAAGGAGTAAAGATCAGAAGATAATGGGCAATCTGAGCGCCAGCTTGTCCTGCTAGGGCCAGCAGCCTGAGGAAGAATGAAACGAGGCACAGGGGAAGAGAGGAGCTCCTCTAGGCACGCAATGCCCATTAGCTCATTTCATTTTCACAACACTGAAAAATACATAGGTATGCTATGCCCACTTTACAGAAACAGAAAGCAAGGCTGGGAACAGCGAGGTAACCTCGGCAAGGCGCCAGGTAGGAACTGGCCCATAGGGTGATGAAGAGCTCCCATTTCACACAAAAGCCCCTACCAGCTCATCCCTAACCTCAGGTATTTCCCCATGACTCACTCACACTTGAGGTAAAGAACTGTGCTCTGATCCGTGTAAAGGATTCCTGGAAGGACAATACATTAAATCTGCCTACTTAGTCGGGTTTTCATTACTATAATGAAACACTTGAGACAGCCTGCTTTATAAAGCAAAGAGGTTTACTGTTGCTCAGAATTTTGGAGGTTCAAAGTCCAGACAGCACGGTGCAACTTGGCTCTGGTGAGGTGCCCACGGGAGATGACACAATGTAAACAAAGGAAGGGTGACACAGCCAGCAGGAGAGAGCGCGCCTGGGCCCAAACTCAAGCTCTTTTAACAACCCCCTCCTAAGAACTACCTTCCAAATTGGCCCTATCTCCTGAACATCAGAATGGGATTCGGTTTCTACCTTCTTAGCACCATTAACTTATGACTCTGAGGCTTACTTAAAAAGGGTATTTTATTTATTTGAAAGGCAGAATTACAGAGAGAGACAGAGATCTTCCTGGTTCACTCCCCAAATGGCTGCAATGGCTAAGAATGGGCCAGACTGGAGCCAGGAGCCAGGAACTCCTTCCAGGTCTCCCACGTTGATAGCAGGGGCCCAAATACTTGGGCCATCCATCACTGCCTTCCCAGGCACATTAGCAGGGAGCCAGAACAGAAGCAGAGCAGCTGGGACTAAAACCAGCATTCCAATATGGGATGCTGGCCACATAAGTGGCAGCCTAACCTGCTTCACCATAACAGTGGTCCCGACTTTGAGGTTTAAAGTCCTGTAGGGCCGGCACTGTGGCACAGCAGGTTAACGCCCTGGCTAAAGCGCTGGCATCCCTTATGGGCGCCAGTTCTAGTCCTGGCTGTTCCTTTTCCGATCCAGATCTCTGCTATGGCCTTGGAAAGCAGTGGAAGATGGCCCAAGTCCTTGGGCCCCTGCACCCACATGGGAGACCTGGAAGAAGCTCCTGGTTCCTGCCTTCGGATTGGCGCAGCTCCAGCCGTTGCAGCCATCTGGGGAGTGAACCAGCAGATGGAAGACCTCTCTCTCTCTCTCCTCTCTCTCTCTCTCTCTCTCTCTCTCTGTCTCTACCCCTCTCTGTAATTCTTCCAAATAAATAAAATAAATTAAAAAAAAAAAAAAGTCCTGTGTGCATTTGGCGGCCATATCACATTCAAACCACAGTGCCGCCCAAAGAGGACCACCCAAGGCTGATCCGTTTTGAATGTAGTGGAAAGAGAAAAGCCAGGACACTGCCCTGGTGAAGCCCACTGGCAGACGCCATGCACAGTGAAAGTTGGGGTGGCCATAAAAGAATGGGGTATGACCACGGGTGAGAAGCGCTGGGCGGGAAGGCAGAGAGTATCCGAAGGAGGAAGGCACCAAGGACATCCCGGGTGGAAAATCCAATGCACGCGTGGTCCCTACAGATAAATAAAGGGGACCCCAGGTCTGGCAGAGGATACAGGGGGATGTGGCTGACTGTGGCCTTAATGTATTTGACATTACTCACTTGTCCTGGGAATCTGACACACAGAAAGATCTCTGAGAATTCCCTATGTTGTAAGGGCCCATACTGTTCTGTAAGGATGCAGTTCCTCTCCAAGGAAGGAAAGGTACAGGATCCAATGTGACCACAACCGCAGGCCTCAGAGCCCAGAACCATGAAGACAGTAGAGTCTCCAGGGTAAAAGATCAGCAGCCAGCACCAAAGCACAAAGCACAGCGACAGGCGGGAAAACGCTTTCAGAAGCAGCACAAGGGGTGGGCATTGTGGTGCAGCGAGTTAAGCCATCAATTGGGGCACCAACATCCCATATTTGAGTGCCTGGTTTGAGTCCCAGCTACTCTATGCTTGCAATTCAGCTTCCAGCTAATGTACCTGGGAGGCCCCAAATAATGACTCAAGTGCCTGGGTCTCAGCTAAACACGCGGGAGATCTAGATGGAGTTCCTGACTCCCGGCTTCAGTCTTGCCTAGCTCTGCTACTATGGTTACCTTAGAAGTGAACCAGTGGATGGAAGATCTCGATCTTGATCTCTCTCTCTCTCTATATATATATAGATATCTCCCTTGCTCTGTCATTCTGTCCTTCAAATAAATGTCTTTAAAAAAAGAAGAAGAAGAAGAAACATCCAAACTGTCTGAAATTCTGGTCCACACTGAGCAATCTTCAATTTTCCAGACCTGTTTCCTCCTTATCTGTAAGTGCAACACTGGGTCACAGCTGCACCCTTCCCCCTGTTCAAAGCACACACAAGGAGGGTCAGCAAGTCTCATCTCAGAGCACACACCCCTGGGGAAGACCCCACCCCCAAATCACTCACCAACAACACTCAGCAAGTCCAAACATGTGCTCGCTCGGCTCTGTGCCTTTTTTTTTTTTTTTTTTTTTTTTTTTTTTTTTTTTTGACAGGCAGAGTGGACAGTGAGAGAGAGAGAGAGAGAGAAAGGTCTTCCTTTTCCGTTGGTTCACCCTCCAATGGCCGCAGCGGCTGGCGCACCGCGCTGATCCAATGGCAGGAGCCAGGTGCTTCTCCTGGTCTCCCATGGGGTGCAGCGCCCAAGGACTTGGGCCATCCTCCATGTACTCCAGGGCCATAGCAGAGAGCTGGACTGGAAGAGGGGCAACCGGGACAGAATCTGGCGCCGCGACCGGGACTAGAACCCGGTGTGCCGGCACCGCAAGGCGGAGGATTAGCCTAGTGAGCCGTGGCGCCGGCTTGGCTCTGTGCCTTTATAATTTTTAATTATTTGGAAGACAGACACAGACTGACATCACTCCCCAATGCTCACAGCAGCTGAGGATGGGCCAGGTATGAAGCCAGAATCCAGAACTCACATGGGTGGCAGAAGCAACTACTAGAGTCTTTGCTTGTTGTCTCCCAGAGTGCACACTGGCAGGAAGGTGGGATAAGAAGTGAAGTTGGGACTTGAATCCAGACACTCCAACAGGGGTATGGGTATCTCAAGTAGCATCCTGATCACAGTACCAAATGCCCACCCTTCTGAAACTAGGGGTAGAAAGCTACTACTTGGCCCTGAAATTAACAGCAGTTGACATGGTAGGATCAAATCTTTCCTGGAAGCAGAGAAGAAACCTAATAAAAAGCCTCTGCCTGAGGTGCCGGCATCCCATATGGGTGCCACTTCCTGTCCCGGCTGTCCCACTTCTCTGCTGATGGCCTGGGAAGGCAGTAAAAGATGGACCAAGTGATTGGGCCCCTGTACCCATGTGGGAGACCCGGAAGAGGTTCCTGGCTTTGGTTCGGCCCAGCTCCAGCCATTGCAGCCATCTGGGGAGTAAAACAGCAGAATGGAAGAGCTTTCTCTGTCTACCTCTCTGTAACTCATTCACATAAATAAAATAAATTTTAAAAACAAACAAACCTGGCCGGCGCCATGGCTCACTAGGCTAATCCTCTGCCTTGCGGCGCCGGCACACCGGATTCTAGTCCCAGTCGGGGCACTGGATTCTGTCCCGGTTGCCCCTCTTCCAGGCCAGCTCTCTGCTGTGGCCCAGGAGTGCGTGGAGGATGGCCCAAGTACTTGGGCCCTGCACCTGCATGGGAGACCAGGAAAAACACCTGGCTCCTGCCTTCGGATCAGCGCGATGCGCAGGCCGCAGCATTCCGGCCACGGCAGCCATTGGAGGGTGAACCAACAGCAAAAAGGAAGACCTTCCTCTCTGTCTCTCTCTCTCTGTCCACTCTGCCTGTCCAAAAAAAAAAGAAAAAAGAAAAGAAAAAGAAAGGAAGAAAAGGATGAAGCACGGCAGGTGGCAGAGACAGTTTACACATACCTGATAGCTCCAGATTTTAAGTTATCTGCATTGCTGTCCTACA